TTAGAATATCTTGAGCTTGAATAAATAAGTCTACAACAAAGGAGCATGAAAGATATCTTACAAGATCAAAGGAATGTGCAAGGGAGCAAGAAATCATGCAAAAAATGTGATTTGGTCGCTTACCCAGCCGGGTATGGCCTTTACCCGGTCGGGTATGAAGTGAAAAACGAAGCTGCTGGGATAATATAACTGATACCCGATCGGGTATTCCCTATACCCGGTCGGGTATGAAGTGACTTCAAGCAAAAAGACGTGCTGAATCGCATAAAGACATGTGAAAAAGATATAATTTGACAAATATCAGGTCAGGTATCTCAAATACCTGGTTGGGTATCCGGCACAACACCTTCAAAACACCTATAAATAGCATCCTTTTCCTTCATATTATTCATCCCTTCTTCCATATACTTAAACTCAACTTAGAATATTATTTTCATTATATTTTTCTAGCATTGTTTAGTCTCCAAATGAGGAGCTAAACCCCCATTTCTTGGTTTTCCTCTTGATGCTTGTTGAATGTTAAAGTTGTGAGTTATTTTCTTACTTCTTCCCTTGAATATTAATTCTTCCCTTATTCTATCTGTATATTAATGTTAGAGAGTGTTGCTAAATGACAATTAGTTAACATATTGACATTAATTACTACTAGAAACGATCAATGAACGTAACCGATGGTTAATCATTGATGATTTTAGAAGTAACTTCGGGTTATTAATGCATGGTCGTGGTTAATAATCTTAAGAGGGATTAATTGTGTTGGTTAAACCGAAACCGTTGTGTTAAGGTTATCAATCTCAATTGATTTCATCAAGGAGTTAAGAGATCAAATGCTATATATTATGTAGTCGATATATAATGGTGTTCGATCTATACTTGGATAGTAGTAGGGCTGTGAATTTTTTCCTGAATCTCGACTCCCGATCCCGATATTCCCGATCCCGGGGTTTTTTTTTTTTGAAAAAAGTCGGGATCGGGAAAATCCCGGAATCCCAACACTATATATATATACACATATAGAAATAGAAATATATATATATATATATATATATATATATATATATATATATATATATAAATGAATATACATTTATAAAAAATGAATATTTATCTAAATATTTGCATATCTTTTTTAATTACTTATTGCTTACATAGATTAATCTTTTACCGCGAGTATCTTACAATATTAAACTTGTAAAACTATTCGGCATTTGTTCAAAACTGAATATTCTGGATCCTAACTAAATAGAGATTATTCTTGATCCCGACAATCTAAATCACAACAATATTACAATTTTTGCGGTTTTGATGAACTCTTTTAAAAAATTATGATTGAGACTAAGATTTCTTTCTTTAGTAAATAATCATAATATGTATTTATACATTATATTCATTGGTCACAAAGTTTCTCAATGAGTCTACTTAGTTTTGAATTTTAAATAATATACGTTACACATTCTTCTTTTAGTCATTTTTTATATAATTTTTGAAGTTTCACTAAGCCTTGATGGCTTATTAAAAAATCATACTATTAATTAATTGAAGTTATAAATAAAAATTATTCTAAAAGCATGTATTAGTGTGAATTTGAGATGATGATTATTACTACGTACAATAAATTTTATTAGTAGATGATGATAAATATGGTATAATAATGACCAAAGAATAGTGTTGAAACCACTAAATATCAATGTTAGTGTTTAACTAAAGAAATTACATAATTTATGTTTGATACTTCATTGTCAGGATTAAGCGGAATTTCCGATCGGGAACCCGACTTAATCGGGATTTTAATATTGGGATCCCGACTTAACCGGGACGAGATACGGAATCCTCTTGTAGTTTGAATCGGGATCAGGACGGGATCGGGAATTTGGCAATCGGGATCATCCCGATCCCACCCCTAGCTAGTAGTATGAGTTATTAATGAAATGTCGTTATTAATAATTATCCTCGATAAATTGGAGATACTCCTCGATTGAGTATTCGAGAGATGATAACTTACAGATATAACTGGGATCAACAAACATTTTAACAAGTGGAAAGTATCAAAATCAAGTTTTTTATCTCATTAATTAAAATCATATAACTCGTTCATCTTAATGTTTTAATTATTAAATTAAATCAACCTTAAACCATACGTTGTGTGGTCCAAATGAGGTCACACATAAAAGTATTGTTCCACTTAAATGTGTTCCCCCATTTGTGGCCACACATTAAGGAAAAAAATGGGTACCCAAAAATGGGGTAACATAAATATGAGTAGTATGAAAAGTACATTTACCTAAAACCTCAATCACTATTGATGTTTTGACTTTAGTCACACTGTCACAGACTAGTGGATCGTGTGCCTCACTGAAGCTCCGCTCGAAAAAATATTATTCGTATTGAAACACAGACTTGGCGTACATAACCAATTTTATTGATGTATATATACAACTTTGCCCACAAATTTTAAGATTGATGTATAAGTGTATAACCCAATTTTTTTGATGTATATATACAACTTCTTAAAGATTGCAAATTTTAAGATGAAATTACTCCGTATAAAAAAGCAAAGTAGAAAGTTTGTACAAGAAAGTGATGAGAAACTCATACTTGTATAAGAAACGAGCATGTATTCAAAGAAGTTTTTTTTGATTCATGAAGAGGCCTCTGTTTAGCTACAATTCGGCGGAAGTAATCGCCGCCCATCATCAGTTTCCAAATGCACGTTCCATGTTGTTTCTAAATTGAAATTTTAATTAGGGATCACAATTGTGATCGACCCGATGGATATCTGTATCAAACCGTCCTAATCAAAATGGCGAAACTGCATTGACCGGGTCACGAGCGGGGCGGGAAATACCCGTTTTGTTTTTATGCGGTTATGGTTTTACACATGCATGCTCGCTCCATTACCTGCCCGGTACCCATTCCGTTATGTTTAGTTATATTTTTATTACATTTTTATCTATTATTTGTCTCACAACTACTAAAAGATGAGATTTTTCTGTTGTAATTGTGTATATATGGATAATACATGTACTAAATATAGTGTATGAATGAAAGTTTATAATAGATTTTAATAGTCTTTTGATTATTATACCAGATTTTTGGTGATTAATTATTTTTCAGATTGAGTGTTTTTAGATTCAAATTAACTTAGGTTGCCTTCTTTCTTATCTTGTAGATATACGAATCTTTAAAGTGGCGTCTGAAGTCTAGAGTCTCGTCTAGGTGATGCCATTTTTCGCCTTTTAAAATATTACTTTTATATTAAAATATATCAATGACTAATGTAATAAAGCGGACACCCGCGGTTATATCCGTTACCCGTTGTGGCGGTTATGGCTAGAGTAAAAATTACCTGTTGTGTAATAGGGTGGTTACAGGCGGGTAAATTTCCAACGAGGCAAGTATGATTATATGTAAAACTGTCCCCGATCTGCTCCGTTGTCATCCCCAATTTTAATGAGTTGGAAATATTAATAGACATTGGTATCCTTCTATAACTTTAACCCTAAATGCATCACATTTATACTCAATGAACAAAAATGCTCATTATATAGGAAATGCCAATAATGGAAAATTTGAGATATTAGTACAAAGTATGTGCATTGGATTACTAAAGCAAAGACTGTTTTAGAACAAAAGTTTGGGACTTTTTGCTAAAATGGAAAATATTTTATACTCTTATTACTTACGTAGTATTATTATTACCATACTATACTGTAGAAATAATGTTGTGTAATAACCATAATAGATTAATAGGGGTGTTTGAAACTGATTCTGATTCTGCTTCTTTTTTAAAGTTAAAGCAGAATTGGAATCAGTTTTCAGTAGCTGGTCTCCTCCAGCTTCTAAAAAAACTGATTCTAGGAGTAATTAGAGCACGAGAATCACTTCTGCACTTTCATCAAAACATTCCAACTTCTGCTTCTGCTCTCCGAAGGAGCAGAAGCAGTTTTAAGAATTAGATCCAAACACCCCCTAAATACTTCTATAAGATTTGGATATGTTTGCAGTCCCAACAAAAATATGTCATATTTTGTTTAGGATCCTTGTAATGTACTAGTATTTTTTTTAATCCCGCCTCTTATATACGTTACGTACGTAGTAATATACGTAGTACTCCGTATCATTTTTTTCCCTTAGCCTGAGACAATCTTTGGCCACTTAAAAATGGTAGCATAACGGCATAACGCTACCAAAACCTTATAGGATTAACGTTTATATGATTAACCTTTATAGGTTAAAATAATTTAAAACTAGTCATTCTGTTGGCCTGTACTTTAATTCTATGTATACATACATAAATATACATGTGTATATTTATTTACATTTAGAGCCCGTTTGATAACAGTGGAGTTGACTGAATTGACTGATTTTGCTGAAATTTATGAAGTTCTGGCTGAAGTGTTTGTATAGACTGATTATGCTAATATATGAAAAAATTATATTTAAAATATTTGTTATTAACAAATAAAATAAAAAATTATATGAAAAATAACTAAAATGACCATCTACAATAACTTCAGCCAATACCATCAGAAAAATATTTTCAACCTTACGTGTTTGATGAAAAGCTAAGCTGATATAAGCCGTCTCAAAAAAGAGGCTGTTGGAAAAATGGTTTTACAAATTAATATTATGGTCATTAATATTATTTGTAAAAATCATTTTGAAATGAATGAGAAATTATTCCCCGAAAGATAAGCGTGAAATTATACTTAACACGCATACACTGTCGCCGTTAATCGGTCGGGTTCGGGTCTTTGTCGAGTCAACAATCGGGCTTAAGATAGGATCGGAAGATTTAATTTTGCTACGTTTTTCGGATAAAACCAAATAAAAGACACAACCATTCGTTTTAAAAGAAAGGTCATGAACTTTCTTTAAAAGGTGTCTTTTGGGTTAAGAGGCTCCTGGCCAGAGCTCTATAAATACCCGTCTTGTCTTCACTTTTGATACATCCGAACATTCACTAATAATTCCTCAAAATTCTCTCTTCCTTCGTTGCATCTTTGAGTTCGCCGGAATCTCGTTGGGAGCGAAGAACCGTTCTATCCTGGGAGACGCTTGCTACGTGTGTCGGGCAAAAACGTCTTAAGGAGACAACACTTTTGTTGGGCTCGGTTGATACAAGTATTTTTCTTTTACTTCTATTTGTCTAATTAATGCATGCACATTTACATGAATTTTGAGTAACAATCTTAAGACGTTTTTGATCTCTGTGTACAATTTGCTTATTTGTTTCCTACCGTGTGTTCAAAGATTAAGTTACTTCTCTGTGCGTGTATATGTTACTACCTGCTATATACAATCTGTGCATATATTATTCCTTGCTTTATATCTTCCCAATTGGCTGGTATATAGTGCATTCGTGTTTGCATCTGTTTTCACGTACGAAGTCCATTTTTTTTTAATTAAACTTTGTCAATGCATGTAGTTTGACTTTGATTGATAGATTATACAACATACCTGTTTTGATTGCTAATCAACATATTTCTTTACAACATAAATTAAGAATCAACGTATCTCATATATACATATATATTTGTCTGTATATACTTTTATTTTTTCAAGTTGTTACAAACGTTCGCCGTTCGCATTTAATAAATAATAATACGTGTATTTTTATGAAAAGTTGTGAAGAGTTTAACTGTCCGCATATAGTTTAACTGTCAAATTTGTGAAGAGTTGTTTCATTTATTCCATTAGTCGCATCCCTCTGCTAATTCATATTACCTGCTCTGCGTTCAATCCTTTTCCGTTTTAAGTATTTTATAATAGCAAGTTTTATAAAATCACAAGTAGTATATGTATACGTATTATTGCATGTGTGTTAGTCTTCATATTCATTAGTTGAACTCCGTAATTTGTGAACATTTGCATGATATTTGCCTTCTGTACATTTTATTTCATTTAACATCTGTATCACGACTTTGATATTGTTACTTCATAGAATTTGCATACACATTTAATTGTGTATCTTCGTATACTTTGTGTATATATTAAAAAAAAAAATCGTGATTTTCTTTTTGCTACCGTCTGTTTTGTGTAAACAGAATGGGAGATGAATCAAACATTACTTTTCCGAAATCATCCCCGCTCACTACTATCCCGATCAGTTCTTCTCACGGGGAGAAACCTAGCAAATTCAATGGTCATGATTTCAAACGTTGGCAACAGAAAATGCTGTTTTATTTAACAACGTTGAATTTGGCTAAGTGTCTCTCCGAAAGCCAACCTGTTTTAGAGGAAGGCGAGACTGATAAGGAGAAAGTAGCCGCGGTGGATGCGTGGAAGTACTCAGATTTCTTGTGTAGAAATTATCTCTTAAATGGACTCGATGACTCCTTGTACTCCGTGTATGCCGATATAAAGACGGCAAAAGAATTGTGGGGATCACTTGAGAAAAAATACAAGACCGAGGATGCCGGAAAAAAGAAATTTATTGTCGGGCATTTCTTGGACTTTAAAATGGTTGATCACAAATCGGTTGTTTCTCAAGTTGAAGAGTTCCAACTTATCCTTCATGAAATTCACGCTGAGGGTATGTCCCTTAGTGAGTCCTTCCAAGTGGCGGTGATAATTGAAAAATTACCTCCCAAATGGAGAGACTTCAAGAATTACTTGAAGCATAAGCGTAAGGAAATGTCCCTAGAGGAGCTCATTGTTCGTTTAAGGATAGAGGAGGATAACCGCAAATCGGAGCACAAAGCCGATAGATCAAGTTCCATGGATGCTAAAGCAAACATGGTGGAAGCGGGATCCAAGAAGGGGAAGAAGAGAAAGCACAACGACGAAGGAACAAGTGGAGCCAAGCCTTCGTCAAAGAAATTCAAAGGAAAGTGCTATAATTGTGGCAAGCCCGGTCACCGTGCTAAGGACTGTCGTGCTCCTAAGAAAAAGAAGACTGGACAAGTCAATATTGTGGACGACCTCTCTGATGACATGGGTGAAATGAACCTATGTGCCGTGATATCTCAATGCAATTTAGTGGGAAACACTAAAGAATGGTGCATTGACACTGGAGCTACCCGACATATTTGTGCTAACAAGTGGATGTTCACCGATTATCAACATGTTGATAACGAGGAACAACTATTTATGGGTAACTCTTCTACATCCAAAGCAGAAGGTCGCGGCAAAGTTGTCCTCAAAATGACGAGTGGGAAAACTCTAACTTTGAACGATGTGCTACATGTCCCTGACATACGCAAGAATCTGGTTTCGGGCTCCCTCCTTAGCAAAAATGGTTTCAAGCTTGTCTTTGTGGCTGATAAATTTGTACTTACAAAGAATGATGTGTTTGTAGGGAAGGGCTATCTCAATGATGGTCTCTTCAAAATGAATGTACTTACCGTTGTACCCAAACTTGTTGATAATAATAAAGTGGGTTCTTCTTACTTGGTTGAGTCTTCTTCTATTTGGCACGCTAGACTAGGACATGTCAATTATGATACTTTGCGTAGATTAATGCATTTAGAATTGCTTCCTAAATGTCATATTGATCCTTATCACACGTGTGAAATTTGTGTTGAAGCAAAAATGGCTAGAAAACCTTTTCACTCTATTACTAGAGAAACTGAACCACTAGATCTCATACACACAGATCTTTGTGATCTCAAGTATGAAGAAACTAGAGGGGGGAAAAGGTATTTCATTACCTTCATTGATGATAGCACAAGATATTGCTATCTGTATTTGCTACATAGCAAAGATGAAGCTGTTAATGCTTTTAAGCATTATAAAGCTGAAGTTGAAAATCAACTTGGGAGGAAAATTAAAGTGTTAAGGAGTGATAGGGGTGGTGAATATGAGTATCCCTTTGAGCCAATCTGCTCGGAAAGTGGAATAATTCATCAAACTACTGCTCCTTATACACCTCAATCTAATGGAATCGCCGAGAGGAAAAATAGAACATTAAAGGACATGGTTAATGCCATGTTAGTTAGCTCTCGTGCTCCGAACAACTTGTGGGGGGATGCTGTCTTAGCCGCCAACTACATTCTAAATAGAATGCCCCACAAGAAAACACACAAGATTCCATATGAGTTATGGAAAGGGAAAAAACCAAGTTTTAATTACTTGAAAGTGTGGGGATGTCTAGCTAAAGTAGCTATTCCCAAACCTAAGAGGACAAAACTTGGACCAAAGACCATTGATTGTGTCTTTGTTGGTTATGCACAAAATAGTAGTGCATATCGTTTCCTTGTCCACAAATCCCATAACATGGATATATTGGCTGATACTTTTATAGAATCTAGAGACGCTACATTCTTTGAGAATGTATTCCCTTTCAAGGGAGATTGTGAAGTTGTCTCCTCCGACATGGATGTTTTCATTCCAACCCATGTTGAAGATACAAACTCACATAAGAGGCCGTTTGATTCTATAAAAGATAATAACGAAATAACGCAGGAAGGTGAAGTGGGACGCAGCAAAAGGGCTCGAAAATCGAAAGATTTTGGACCAGAATTTGTTGTGTACCTTCTAGACGATGAGCCTCAAACCTATAAAGAAGCCATGTCTTCACCGGACGCTGTACAATGGCAAGAGGCTATCAAAAGTGAAATTGATTCCATCATGTCTAACCACGTCTGGAAAGTGGTAGATTTGCCTCCTGGATCTAAACCTCTAGGATCCAAATGGATCTTCAAAAAGAAAAGGAGAACTGATGGAACAATTGAAAAGTACAAAGCTCGATTGGTTGCCAAAGGATACAACCAAAAAGGAGAATTTGACTACTTTGATGTCTACTCACCGGTCACAAGAATAACTTCAATTCGAACGTTATTAGCAATAGCTGCATTGAAGGGTTTGGAAATCCATCAAATGGATGTAAAAACTGCATTCTTGAACGGTGACTTAGAGGAAGAGATTTACATGCAACAACCTGAAGGTTTTATTGTCCCCGGACAAGAAAGAAAGGTTTGTCGCTTAGTAAAATCTCTTTATGGGTTAAAGCAAGCCCCCAAACAATGGCATGATAAATTTGACAGTGTAATGCTGTCAAATGGATTTAAGATCAACGAGGCCGACAAGTGCGTGTACGTGAAAGGAAATCAAATTGACTACGTCATAGTCTGTCTATACGTAGATGATATGCTCATTTTTGGTAATAACAATAATTTGATAAAGGCTACCAAAAGTATGTTGGCCAGGAAATTTGAAATGAAGGATCTCGGTGTTGCTGATGTAATTCTAGGAATTAAAATCATCAGAACACCTGAAGGGTTGATATTATCTCAATCACACTACATTGAGAAAATGCTTGAGAGATTCAAGAAGTATGATATCAAACCCATGAGAACTCCTTTTGATTCCAGTGTTCACCTCAGTAAAAACAGAGGAGATAGTGTATCGCAAGATGATTATCCTCGGGTCATAGGATGTTTGACATATGTCATGAATGGAACACGACGTGATATAGCTCAAGCTGTGAATAAGCTAAGCCGATTTTCAACAAATCCCAGTAGCGAACACTGGAAAGCGCTTATAAGGCTGCTTGGGTATTTGATGTACACCAAAGACTATGGTTTGCATTTTCAAAAATATCCAGCCGTGCTAGAAGGATATACCGATGCAAATTGGATATCCGATTCCAAGGATACAAAATCAACAAGTGGATATGTGTTTACCCTTGGAAGTGGTGCTGTGTCGTGGAAATCTTCCAAACAAACATGTATTGCAAGATCTACCATGGAAGCTGAATTCATTGCCTTAGATAAGGCTGGAGAAGAAGCTGAATGGTTGAGAGAGTTTTTGGAAGATCTTCCTTGTTGGGAAAAGCCTGTCCCTCCAATATCCATTCACTGTGATAGTCAAGCTGCAATTGGAAGGGCAAGGAATGCAGTTTATAATGGTAAGTCTAGACACATCCGTCGTAGACATAATACCGTTAGAAAACTAATTAAAAATGGGATCATCTCTCTTGACTATGTTAAGTCGAAAGAAAATATTGCGGATCCGCTAACCAAACCTCTACCGAGAGAGTTGGTCGAAACGTCAAGGAGAGCAATGGGCCTACGTCCAATGATCCAATAAAAAGTCCATGGGGAAACCCTACCTATTATTGAGAGTGCCTCATAATTAGGTTCAAAGGGAAAACACAACTGTGGACTGGCTCGGGCGGTACTAGCCAAGATATAGTACACTCATGTCATGAGCACTTAGGGTAAGTTACGCTTTTAATGATCTCTATATCTTGATAAGTTCAAGTAAGGTATGACATGATACCTTCCATAGAGATCACCTATGCTGGTGGAAGAAGGCCGCTTCTATGAGAGTCTATCGCACGAGATAAATTCTCCGGTGCACGATATACTCTCAAAAACACTAGCTGAACCAGGAGGTGTTCAAGGCCGAAACGAACACAATCGTGAGAACCAAAGATGCACTCGGGGCTCTGTGTGTTATTCATTGTCTAGGTTTACACTATGGCTGACGGTTCAAAGCAAAGTGCTACCGATTGTCCAGTAAATCCGATGGATATACACTAAGGTAGGTTCAAAGTTTCACGACTACCTAACCCTATGCAGAGTTCCCATCTTCCCATGTCAAATTCCAATATGTTTCCTGTCTTTAAGCCAATTTCCCATTCATGTGGGGGGATTGTTGGAAAAATGGTTTTCAAATTAATACTATGGTCATTAATATTATTTGTAAAAATCATTTTGAAATGAATGAGAAATTATTCCCCGAAAGATAAGCGTGAAATTATACTTAACACGCATACACTGTCGCCGTTAATCGGTCGGGTTCGGGTCTTTGTCGAGTCAACAATCGGGCTTAAGATAGGATCGGAAGATTTAATTTTGCTACGTTTTTCGGATAAAACCAAATAAAAGACACAACCATTCGTTTTAAAAGAAAGGTCATGAACTTTCTTTAAAAGGTGTCTTTTGGGTTAAGAGGCTCCTGGCCAGAGCTCTATAAATACCCGCCTTGTCTTCACTTTTGATACATCCGAACATTCACTAATAATTCCTCAAAATTCTCTCTTCCTTCGTTGCATCTTTGAGTTCGCCGGAATCTCGTTGGGAGCGAAGAACCGTTCTATCCTGGGAGACGCTTGCTACGTGTGTCGGGCAAAAACGTCTTAAGGAGACAACACTTTTGTTGGGCTCGGTTGATACAAGTATTTTTCTTTTACTTCTATTTGTCTAATTAATGCATGCACATTTACATGAATTTTGAGTAACAGAGGCCACCAAACCGGCTGTTATAATGCTTACTCCGTACTTCACGTACAACAATAATTGGATTTCTAGTATTACGTATATATTATATATTTAACGTGCAAACATGAATACGATAGTATATTATAGACATGATGTTCAATGTTCAAACTTGAACACAGGTTTAATTACACTACATATTATTGTGGGTCTTTTCTTAAAACACGGGAATTGCTTGCATGAAGTGCCAAATAACGGGACTTATTCTAGGTTTTCCAAAATTGCGGTATTCGGAAGTCACCTTTCCGACTAAATGAGGGTTTATCAAAAAATTCCAAGCGAATGCTTCTTAGTCGGAACTCCCAGTTCCGAGTGGGCGAATCCACTACTTTTTCATGAGTAGGCTTTTGATTTTTAATTCAAAGAGGACTTTTTATTATCTTTACCAATTTTATACCTCATATATTAATTACTACGTATTACATATTACATGTGGATATGTTAAACACGTGGACTAGTTGGAGCTTTATTATTAATTTTAATCTAGAAATCATAATAATTAACATTTTTATATATCATATGATTTATGTTTAAAAAAATATAAAATGAAATTATTTTTCATGATCTTTCTTATAACATTAAGAGCCCGTTTGGTTGAAGGAAAATCGGCTGGTTCGGCTGATTCTGCTGAAATTTCGGAAGTTCTGGCTGAAGTGGCTGCATTGGCTTATTCTGCTGATTTAAGAAAAAAAAATTAAAATATATGTTATTAATAAAATAAAGAAAAAATTATATGTAAAAATAGCAAAAATGGTCATCTACAGTAACTTCAGCCAATACAGCCAGAAAAGTAACTCCAACCTTACTTTTTCTGCTTATTACACAATTCAGCGTGCGAAAGCAAATTTTACGTGTTTGGTGGAAAAATTGGATGATAAGCCTGATAAGCCGAAAATGGTGTTACCAAACGGCACCTAATATTTGTTATGTAATTTTTAAATAAAATTACTACATGTCTATATTAACCGTTACTCCCTCCACCCCGTTGAGATTGTCTCGCCTTTCTCTTTTGGAGTGTCCCGCTGATTAAGATTGTTAATTTGATAAAAATTTGTGTAGTTTTTAAATCATTCTTACCTTATTTAAGTTTATCGAGTCAATATCAATTCAACTATATACACTTACTTTTATTAATAATTTCACCGTCTTCTCATGTCTCAATGTTAGTTGGATGGAGGTAGTACTAGATTATACAAAAAATTTGATTGAAGAGCAATAAAAAAAAGATAGCTAAAAATGGAAGCAGCTATATGTGTATTTTGTATTTTTGTTCCCAAATATGAGTTATTTTGTTCTATTAAAGAATAAATCTTTACGAATTACTATCTATAAGTGAAAGGATTATAGTTACTTGATAAAAATCTTACTGTTTAATTTAGTTCTGTTTGGTATAACAGCTTATTGTGATTAATATATGCACTAAATTTCAATTTTTGTTTTTAAACCTTATATATACAATACTGGTGTCATATGGAAGCTCGTAAAAAGTTATGAATTTTAATATATTTTTTATAAAAGTTGGAATATAAATACAAAAGTTACAACAATTTAAGGAAAATTGATGTTTATTATTTATATGGGTCCACTTATTTCTCTCACCATGTAGCAGGCTACGTACCCTTGGAAATGGGATTTACAAAACTCCCGTGTTTTCATACAAGAAAACACACTCCCGTGTTTTTGCATGACATTTGCAAAAGTCCCGTATTCTTGGGAATTCCCCTATTATTGTTGTGCAACTACCTAAGACCCATGGTTAGATTCCCAAAGTTAAAGTAAAAATAATACGGATCGGAGTATGATTTTTGTTAATAAAATTAGGAAAATTACCAGTAAAATGTTGTTTCCATTCCCAAACAGAACTATATTTTTATTTTCAAAAAAGGATTATTGTTCCAAATTTACCCTGCTACTCCGTATTTTTTCCCAATCGTGTATAGTCACAAGCATGGCTAGCTCATAATCTTCTCCACTCATCATTTTCTCCGATCCACTCACCACCTTCTTATCCGCTCATCATCTTTTCTGATGCGCTCATCATCTCTTACGAGCTACGAGGTGTTGCGAGTGGCTTATGGTGGCAATACTTTCTTCTTCCCCCATCATTTCCGCGATGGCGGTGAGCTGTAAGCAGTGAGCGTTGAGGGAGCATCGACGAGAAGCGAGTCTAGATCAGATATGGTGGTTGGAGTAAAGTAGCTCCTCCTTCTCCTCCTCCTCCTCCTCTCTGGTTCTCTCGCTTCCCCCCTCTTTTGTTTCATTGCAGGTCCCTATTGAAAAACTCGAGATGCTTAGTTTCTTCTTTGTTTGTTTAAGAAATGCCAAATTTTACGCCATCAAAGTGACATTATTACTCTTCAAAAATGTCATATTTTACTTTGAATAATACGGAGTATGTCATTAAGATGATACGTACTTACGTAGTACTTCCTCCGTCCCAATTTGTTTTGCAAAGTCAACAATTTTTGGTCAACCAATAATAAAAGTCAACCCTCCGTATGGATAATTAATTCAATTTTTAATAATTAAAATTTACATATTCAAAAACTACATTAAAATCTCTTCAAAGTTTTAAACTCCAAATTAGAATATGATTAAAAAATGACATCCTAATTAAATGAACACAGCGAGACTGTTTGACTAAGAAAAGTCAGATTTGCAACTCTTTTTGGGACGGAGGTAGTATATATTATTGTTTCAAGTTGACATTCTGACAAAAATGTTAGCATCTTTCCCCAAGGAGGCCACAACAAAAGATGCCATCATTTTCCAATATGATTTTTAATAAAAACATCTTTTTAATATTGAAATATGTCAAGGATAAAATTGACAGGGTACTGATGGACAGTGTACCCGGGATAGCTTATCCGAAGGGTTACTGCGGGAATAACCTAAAGAGAAATCAGAGCAAACAAGTAGGAGAGAGAGGCGATTATATTTATGAACTCGAGATGTTCTGGTGCTTTACAATGGGGAAAGGAGGTGCTATTTATAGTAGCAATAAATGCGATGAGAGTACACGTGGCGATAATCTAACGGTCGAGGGGTCACCTCAATCGGGGTGGCACCGGCAATCGCACGTTCACCGCATTAAATGCGGTGGGTGGATGTGACGTCGCATTAAATGCGGTGGTTGGCTGTCTCCAAAGGGAATCTTCGACGATTGAGTCTGTTTAGCCGAAGGCTCTTTATGCAGCCGAGGGCTTCGTGTGGCCGAAGGCTCTGTTCAGCCGAATGCTTCTCTGATGCCGAGGGCTCAACAGTGCCGAAGGCTTCTGTTTTCTGCCATTTTCTCCCAGTAGTTTTGCATCCCCGAATTCGGCTGCCCTGCGTAATTTGGATCCTTCGGCCATATTGCCGAAGGCTACCTTAGGCGCAGTTCGGGCTCCCTTGAGCTTGTGCCGCTGCGTTTTGGGCCTCCTGAGCTTCTTGGGCTTGTTGGGCCTGTGATAGAGTAGTAGGAGTCTGTGGACCGGGAGTTCCTGGGCCATATACTCCATCAAGTACTAATTAGTAATTACTCATATTATAGAAATTTAAAATGTGTGGTCCTATATTTCGTGAATCAAATTATTGCCATCCCGACTGTTGAAATCATACCGATATTATCATTCTTCAAACAGGATCTAGATCACCATATGAAAACATCACTGGCAATGACAATAATTATACATATTTGGAAAAGAATTAGTACTGCATTTAGGGCAACTTTTTTCTAAATGAATCTTACAACAAACGTGACCAAATTACTGTAGTTTGTATTATTCATCACATGAGAAAACGTCGCTAGCTAGTTGCAATCAAAACCGTTCGGAACAGTGTTAAATATAAATATGCAATTATTCACCTTCGATAATCGATTGTACGGTGCAATTAATCACATGTGAATATCTCATAGATTGCAATTTTGCATAGTTCGTTCCGTCAACATATTTGAAGAGTCTTCGTTGCCCATAAAACAAATTACTCCCTCCGTCCCCCTAAGTTTGGGACGGAGGGGTGTGGTGTGGTTTTTAATAAAAAGTGGAATTGTGTGGTTGGTATTGAATTGATAAAGTATAAATAAAGTAAGAATGAATTCTAACCACCCAAATGTTACTAAATATGGTATGGGACAAACTTAGTGCGACGGACGAAAAAGGTAAAACGGGACAAACTTAAGGGGACGGAGGGAGTAAATTTTTGTGACGTAATAAAAATGATTCCTAAACATGTAAGTTTTCGCTTAATTACATTTTAAATACATCCGAGGTTTTTATTTTATATTGTAAAACATAATTACACTCTTAAATGATACATTAATCACTTGATATAAAAAATAGTACGAAAAATATATGTATTTTAATACTCCCTCCGTCCCTAAATAAACTTCCAACTTTCCTTTTTCGTCCGTCCCAATTAAAACTTCCACTTTCCCTTTTTGGCCAGAATTTGTGGTTCACAACAATTCTTACACATTTCTCTCTCCTCTGCACAACTCTCCATCACACAATACCCACTATCTTAAACTGTGTGCCAAACCTATTTGGAAGTTTTATTAGGGACGGAGGGAGTAGTTATCATTAATGATCTGATTTAATTATTGTCTAAATAATTAACTAAAAGATACTACCTCCGTCCCATAATAGTTGTACTCTTTCAATTTAGCACGATTATTAATAAAGTGATTAAAAAATAAAATTTATGATTGAGATTTGAGTAGAAAAAGTGAAATGATAAAAATCACACATTTCTCATGGTTGAAAGAATAGTATTCCACTATTCCATAACTTTAATGAAAAGGTGAGACAAACGGCATATACTCTTTTGGATCTTCCAAGTCCTTACTTTGCTGTGGCACGTCAAATCCCAGTATGAGTATCCAACAAAATAGGTCTATTTTCCTAATTATTAATCCGTTTCCTAATTATTACTCCGCTTAATCATGACTTTCAAACTAAGTAGCACGGAAACGGGAAATGGGAAACGTGAAATGGGAAACGGGAAACGCGAGAAACGTAATTTCTAAAAAATATATATAAGATACGAAACGTGGGGGAAACGCGTAAATATTATAAAATATAAGGATATATTTATAAATATTTTTAAATATATGTACACAAGTTTTTTCATATGCACATGTTTTTTTAATATAATTTGTTTAGTAACCAAATAATAAAATCACTCTACATGTTCGAATTTAGATATTATTTCATATTAGTACATAATTAAACATAAAATGTACGGAGTAATACGAAATGTAACAAGTGTTGCCGCTGAGAAATACCACAAAAAATCACTATAAAAAATTATTTTCTACCACAGAATCTTTTAAAAAAGAAAAAAATTTGGAATCCGAGGTTTCCGAAACGTAGTGAAACGGGTTTCCAAATTTTTCTTAATTACGGAAACGGCCCCGAAACGGGAATTTGAAGTTTCCGAGTTTCCGAAACGCTTTCGAGTTTCCGAAACGTGGAAACGTGAGCCATGGAGAGTTTCCGTGTTTCCTAGCTTTCAAACTCCCATTAGTATGTTAAAAATTATAGAAATCTTCCTTAAATATTACTAATAAAAGAGTCATAGACAAAAATGTGACCTTTTTTTTTACATAGCAATGAGAACTAACTTGTAAAGAACCCATATTATGTCTTTAACACATACGAAGATTTGTCAAGTCTAAAATTCAAAATACAATATTGAGAATAACTACTCTAGAAAGGAAAACAACCAACACTGTAATTGCTTAATTAGCATAATTTTAATTTTTTCTTGAAGAGGTAAATTTAGTCTTCATTATCCTCAATGATAGTAGTGGCTAAGCCCTTGAGTCGTTCTGGAGCCTCAGCAATAGTAACCTGTGAGTAAAATTCTTCCTTAGCATCTTCATCGTCGTTCCTCTTTCGTCCAATAATTCGGACACGGACTCTCCTCGACACACTTCGGATCCCTTTGCTCCAAATCTATTTGTTTAGTTTCAATCACATCAACCCTAATGTCGGTTGTTCCCATTGCTTTTTGAGCAAACTTCAATTCCCTATCTCCTTTATTGTCTTGGGTGCCTTTTTCTTGAAGGTGCATCCATGCAAGCGTTTGTGGAGATTGATGCTGCATTCTTTTGTCACAACTTTATCTTTCTTGGTTGCCCTCGGCTTCCTCGAGATTGTTGTATTGTAGAGCTCTACCGATCAACAGATGTCTCAACAACACCCCGTAAGCTGGATCTCGGACAAAAATGTGACTTAGTAATTATTAGTGACTATAATTGCGTCTAAAGTTTACATCACAGTAACTTACATTTAGTTACTACGATGTAAATTTGCATCACAATTGTAGTCACTAATCGTTACTAAGTAATATTTTGTCCATTATATTATACCACGTTTGACCCGGCCCGCATATCGATTTTTCATGCATAACCGTGTGGTTTATACGAACTTACAAAGTGGTATTTCACTAATCACTATTACCTCTACTCCGTTCGGAGGTTCACATTCAAAAAGGGCACACTTGTTAAGATAATAATTTAATAAGATAATTAACGTTTATTTGAAAAATAATCATGATATGTATAATATAATAATGGGGTTAATGGTGCTAATTGTGATGTTCTAGATACACAAAATATTATTTTTAATATTTGATTATTAAATTATAATTTAAGAGTGCTAATTGTTTTATATAATAGAAATGAGAACATTTATATGTGAATTCAAAAAAGAAAAGTGAGAACCTTTGTATGTGACAAATGAAGTATTTACTAAATAGTACTCCGTAAACGATGAAATCAGAGTTTAAGTATTCAATATTAATAAATTAGACTGATTTTAGTGTTAGATAAGATTAAAAAAAGATCAGACTTAAACTGGCTATGTAATTAGATGAGATCAGATTTTGACAATTATAAGGGGGTGTTTGGATCTGATTCTTAAAACTGCTTCTGATCCTTCAGAGAGCAGAAGCAGAAGTTGGAGTGTTTGGGTGAAACTGCAGAAGTGATTCAGGTGCTCTAATTTACTCCTAGAATCAGTTTGTTTAGAAGCTGGGGGAGACCAGCTTCTGAAAACTGATTCTGATTATGCCTCTACTTTAAAAAAGAAGCAGAATCTGAATCAATCCCAAACACCCCAAAAATACACATATATAGAACATAATCAAGAATTTCAACCCAGCTGGTTGTGAGATTACCGTGCCTAATGGGAGGTCTCGATTTCGAAACCCGCTAGGCACATTAAGGGTTCGAAACTCAATGGAGTGAGTTTCAGCCATGATTACCCCAGCCTCCCAGCCCCCCAGACCCCCTGGAGTAAAAAAAATCATATATAGAACATATATTTACCAGATCATACCAGAATTAAACAAATCATATGAAAATAGATCAAATTAGATCAAACCATATGTCCATATCAGAAATTTTCATAACAATAAAAAAATTCTACATAGTTTGTAATGTATAGGGTGTTTGGTGAATGTCAAATATGAAAACGTGACATTTCAGAATTTATTATTAATAGTCACTGTATAATGAAATCTTTTATATTTTTTTTAATTAGGAGAGCATTTTTCTATGTTATAATAATTTATAAGAACCGGACTAGCAATCAATCGAAGATCGGATTACATGTCAACCTGAATCCACTAGATCACTAATCTTTTTTTTTATCCGGTTAATTAACCACCAAAAATAATAAATTTCCGAAATGTTATACGAGTACTACGTAAGATTTTATTAGAAGACTGGGGAACAAAAGAGGAAGGGGGACATTAGGCCTTATCGTAATTCGTAAGGTAATATACTAATATTGGTTTTTGGGAGAAACTCCACTTAGAGCCCATCAGCCCAATAAGCTTGGAGTTAGAAATTAAAAAGATAAGTCCAGGGACAACATAGTCCAAGAAGCAGCTAGGATACAGTAGTAGCATAATACACTAAGGGCCAAAAGAGAATAGAAAGTGAGCCTGCCAGATTGCCGTTATCGGGGTACAAATATTTAAGATTATTATTACTAGTTTACTACAAGTATGATATCCCCTGGGGTGTAATCGTCAGTTGAACCAACAAATAACAAATTGGTGGTGAATAAGAAAACCCGAAAAACTGAACTAAGCCACAACCGATCGAAACTGATCCGATCAAAACCGACCGACTAAAATCGAAATCGACCGAATTGAAACAGACTAATCAATTGGTTATTTAGTTTACGCTTTATACTTTGAGTTAAAAAACGGTCAAACCAAAATCAATTGATAAAACCCGACTAAGATAAGCTAAAAATCGACATACACCGATATAAATCGTCCAAAATGACTCAAGTTTTTTGGTCCGATCCTCGGTTTCACCTATTCTAAAAGTCGCAAAAACTGATCGAATAAAAACTGAAATCGAACAAAATCGGCTGACTATAAACCAAAACTGTCCAAAATCGAACGAATAAAGACGAAATCCACAATACTTTTATAAGTTACAACTATGAAACAGTGTTGTAATTTACCTCTATTGAAATGGAATGAGTCTAAACTCCAATCACTCGGCATTCTACTATTCTAGTTGACAGCTTAGACACTTGGGAGAAAAAAGTGTGCTATTGATGTAGGATGCAATTACTCTCC